ACACACACACACATCATGGAAATACTTTATAAGGATGTTGCATAATGGCACTAATGCTACTGTTCTCCATTCTTCAAAGTCATCCCAGTCTGACTTGTCTGCAGCGATGAAAAGCTCAGAGGCCACAGAGAAGCTTTTCCTGCAGATTGTTTGGGACTGGTTAAGAGAATGGCAGATCCTCCGATCCCCGTTTTTTCCAGTTTTATTCTCTCTCACTGTTTACCTGAGTTGCTGTTTGCCTTACATCTTTTTGGATTTGCTCTGCTCAAGACTGATCCTTATACGTCACTTCAGGATCCAGCCTCAAAACCAAGTGACATGGACGAAGGCTTGGAGGTGCTTGTGCAAATGTCTTCACAACCATGTCTGTTTCATTCTCCCCCTTTCTGTTGTGCACTGGTACTGGAGACCTGTGGTTTGTCCTCCACTGGCACCGGAGATGCAATCTGTGATTCAGGACGTGCTGGTCTGCCTCCTCCTGTTTGACACGCAGTACTTTTTGTGGCATTTGCTGCATCACAAGGTGCCCTGGCTCTACCGTTTCTTCCACAAGGAGCACCACCTCTACACTGCCACTTTCTCCCTGACGGCAGAACACACAGGTGTCTGGGAGATGCTGAGCCTCGGCTTCTTCGCAAAGCTGAACCCCATGCTCCTGGGCTGCCATCCACTCACTGAGATGTTATTCTTTGTCACTAACATTTATCTGTCTGTGGAGGCTCACTCGGGCTATGAATTTCCATGGTCTCCACATAGACTGGTGCCTTTTGGCCTCTATGGAGGAGCTCGGTATCATCACCTCCACCACTTTAAAGTCAAAGTGAACTACGCACCTTACTTCACACACTGGGACAGACTCTTTTACACGCTGCAGGAAGACGACATAGAGGACATCAAATGACAGAGAGCACATGATTGTCAGTAGAGCAGTGGATTACGCTGCAAGAGTGGCTCGAAGTCACGATTAGAATTCATTTAACTGAGCTGACCACAGCATTCATTTAGCATAACGAAGAATATTTCAAATTATTACATGTATAACTTTCAAAATCATACGTTGTTGCCATTTTAATTCTTGTTTTTTCTAACTACTTTACTGCCACTGACCGAAAAGTAACCTAGCTGTCAAATAATGAAAGTAGAGTTTAACAAGAAATATGTTTTATACCTTTCCTTTAATCTCTAATCAGTTGGTTCAAAAAAATAGAAACCCTT